CATAAAAACTCTTTACCATTTTGGGAATTCAATACACAGCAATGCAAGCTAACTTTTTTGTTTGTTTGTGCCTGAACAGATATGTGTATAAGAGAACTTTCCAGTGTGGTCCTTCTATGTCTTTGTCTCCACGCCTGTTGCACAGAACCTTGGTTCCAAACTGTGCCTCCTCACCCCTCTAGATAAAATCCAAAATGATTATATAAAAGCTGCTAATCTCTAAGAACAATTCCCCCATCTTCTGAGATTCATCTTGACAAACTTCAGGTGACTCCCCCATTTCCTTTATAAAAAACACAAAAAACACTAGAGGCCCGGTGCATGAAATTCATGCGAGGGAGGGGGGTGAGGAGGAGTGTGTCCTTCAGCCCAGCCAGCACCCTCTCCAATTTGGGATCCCTTTCATAATCCAGAACTGCTGACTCTCAACTGCTCACCTGCCTGCCTTCCTAATTGCCCCTAACCACTTCTGCCTGCTAGTCTGATCACCCCCCACTCGATGACAGCCTGATTGATGCCTAACTGCTCCCCTGCCAGCCTGTTTGCCCCTAACTGCCTTCCCCTGCAAGCATGGTACCCCCCCGCCCCCAACTGTCCTTCCCTGCAGGTCCAGTCACCCCCAACTTCCCTTCTCTGCCAGCCTGGTCACCCCTAACTACCTTCCCCTACAGGTTTGATCTTCCCCAACTGCCCTCCCTTGCTGACCATCTTGTGTCCACATGGGGTCAGTCATCTTTGACCATATGGGGGCAGCCATCTTGTGTGTTGGAGTGACAGTTGTTTGCATATTATTCTTTTATTAGATAGAAGGATTAGATAGGATAGAGGCCTGGTACACAGGTGGAGGCCTGCTGGTTTGCCCTGAAGGGTGTCCCAGATCAGGATGGGAGTTCCTTTGGGGCGTGGGGCAGCCTGGGGTGAGGGGCCTGTGGTGGTTTGCAGGCTGGCCACACCCCCCGGCAACCTATGCAGAGGCCCTAGTATCTGGAGTTATTTATCTTCTATAATTGAAACTTTGTAGCCTTAAATGGAGGCCAAGGCAAGCCAGGGCAGGCAGAAAGCTTGGCTTCCTCCATTGCCAGGGAAACCCAAGCCTCCTGCTCTCTCTCTGGCCGTAGCCATCTTGGTTGTGTTAATTTGCAATCTCACTCCTAATTGGCTAGTGGGTGTGGCTGGTGGGTGTAGTGAAGATTTGGTAAATTTGCATATTACTCTTTTATTAGATAGGATGGCACTCTCTTTCCCCAAATTAGAATGCTCCTTTACATCTTCTCAAGCCAGCATTTTGAATAAACGCTTATTCTTTACTCTGACTGATTTTTTTCCACATGACACAGGGTAAGACAGGAAACTCTACCTAATACCTTAATTAATGGAGGTTTCACTAATACTAGTAATTTAAATTTTTCTTTTGTTCTGGAACCTGGAGGTTAAAAATATTCATGATTCATAATAGTATGTCTTTCTTCTTTAAACTAGATTCTTCTAGTTCATTGTTTCCCAAACTTTTGACATATGTGTACCCCTTCTATAATTTTTGTAATGCTGAGTACCTCTCGTACTCATGAGAACGTAGAATTAGGCACAGCTAAGCACGGTGCAGTGCATATCCCCACCAAACTCTTCCCGTACCCCTGGGGGTACGTGTACCACACTGTGGGTAACATTGAACTAGAAGAATGGCACTTGTGAACAGGATGTTGAAAAAAGAGAAAGCAACATACAGTATTGCTACTGTAGCCAAAGGAGTCTTATAAGGAAAGGAACAGGGAAGTTGAGAATTGGGGAAAGGATTCCTGTAGAATTATTTACACATAGAAGTTTGAAAAGTACTGTTTTAGCATGCCTAGAGCACAAGTTGTTATGTACCCACAAATACAGGAGCTACAAGAATTATCAGACAGCTAATTTGAAAACAAATATATTTAAAACATTTAACGAAATAAGAATGTTTAAAAAATATAGTACAAAAGATTAACAGAAATGGGTAGGTCAATTTGAAAAGAAACAATAAAAGAAGATCTAGAAATAAAATAAAATAAAATAAAATAGAAACACAATACCTGGGTAATGCAACAGGATACCTATATGAAGATGAGCACATACTTTAAGAAATTACACCAACTGTAGCTCAGAGAGGCAAAAGAATGCAAACTCTGAAAGCATTAAGAAGGAAATAAAGAAGGAAAGTGTAACACATATCTTATCAAAATTTCAATAAAAAAATAGAGAAAATAGCCGAAACCGGTTTGGCTCAGTGGATAGAGCGTCGGCCTGTGGACTGAAAGGTCCCAGGTTCGATTCCGGTCAAGGGCATGTACCATGGTTGTGGGCACATCCCCAGTAGGGAGTGTACAAGAGGCAGCTGATCAATGATTCTCTTTCATCGATGTTTCTAACTCTCTGTCCCTCTCTCTTCCTCTCTGTGAAAAATCAATAAAATATATTTTTTTAAAAATAGAGAAAATAGATAAAGAATAATATGCCAAAGTCCCAAACAAGGTACTACTTACACAAAAGGAAACCAAGGACTAGAAAATCAAAATACAAGTCATAGGGAAGAGGGTGGTAAATTGGCTATATTTTAAAATTAAGAACTTTTAAACATCAAAGGACTTATAGAATGAAAAATCAACCTATTAACTCAGAGAAGACATTTGCAATGCATACAACAAAGGAAATGTATCTAGGTTATTTAGACATATGGTGAAATAGAATAGTCAGAAGCAATAAATATTTCAATAGGAAATCACAAAAGATTAATTAACATATGAAAAGATGCTCAATATCATTAAGACTCAATGAATTGCAAATTTTGCTCCAATGACACACCATTTCATGTCCACCAGATTGTCAAAAATTTAAGTCTAATAACATCAAACATGGTGGGTACATTAATGTTCAGTTTATTATTCCTTAAGTTGTATACACCCACTATATATGTTCTTTAATATGCATATGCTTCACTAAAAAGTATTTTTAAGTTGGATTTAGCAATAAAAATGTTTGTTCATGACCCTGCTGAGAGCAGTTTCAGTGAAATAATAGGCATGAAAACCAGATTTCAATGGGCTGAAAAGATTCTATGGGATAAGGTTGTAAAAACAACTACAGGCAGTTATGTCAAGCTAAGCTTTAAGGATGGGCACACAGGACAACAACTTTAGGGGAATGCCATAGTAAGAATTTTATTTTTTTAAATGAAGGAAACTGGGTAAGTTTAGAAAGAAATGGCGAGAGGGAGAAGATAATGACACAGGAAATGAAGCGTCCCTGGGTAGTCACAAAGGCATACAATACAGAGCCCATGAATACTGATTAGTTTTAGACATGAACAATAGCTCCTATTCATTGTTGGAAGCGATTACCTCTTTGTCCACTTCACATAATTTCTCTCCTTACTCTAACCACTCCAGTTACAATGGCTTCCTGATCCTCCTTCCACAGCCCTCCCTCAGGACTTTTGTACATGTTATTCCCTCTATGGAGAAAAGAGAATACTGTTTGCCAGATGAACCAAAGTCTGTTTTTCATTCAAGTCTTTGTTCAGATATGAACTCACTGAAGCAGTTAGCAGACCACTATGAAAGTGAAATTTCTTCTGCACTCCCTACACCTTGCTCCTGGTACTTGCATTATCTTCCCCTGCTTTATTTTTCTCCATAAACCTTCTAAACGTCCTCATAATATACTCATCATATTATTTAATCTCCCCATCCCATTGCATGTAAACTCCATGAATGCGGGAACTGCAGCCACAGTGCCTGGTAATGCTTGACATAGGCACAAGCTCAATAAATATGAGTGATTAATGGCCATTGCTTGAGGGACTGAGTAACAATACTGTAAGAATACTGTAAGATGTGAACAAAATGAGGCAAAGCTTAGAGAGTACTCAACTTACTGACTACAGAATAGGTGACATTTGGGTAAGATTTTTAATCATTTGAAATTTGCCAAGTGGAGAAAAAAAGGTAGATGTTCCCAGGTGAAGAACACAGCAATCTAAAAGGGCCTTGCACATGTGAGAAATGAAAATGGGTACACCTGGAATACGGCAGGGTGACAGAGGATCAGATTTTAGCTAACTTTAGTAACTTTCACAACAGAGGACACCTTATGTAGAGCTTAACTCTAAAAATCCTTTTCAAAAGATTTACAGATTCCAGGTTACTTATTTGCAATACAGTTGGGTATGGGATATAAAGTAAAATTGACATAATATAGAATGACACTCTTCACTGCAAAGGAAAAATGTTTGAACAATTTTAATCCCTGCTTCCTTTGCATCGACTGTAGATTATAAGTACTGACAATCAACCAAAGTGAGAATATTGCTACCAAACATCTAAATCGCAGTTATTAAGATGAAAAATTCTCACTGGTGGGAGAGAGCAGTTTGGACACAGAAGTGGGAATGGTAAAATCAAAATGCTTGTTTTGTAGCAGATACTCTCCATTTAACCATGTGTGAGTTTTTGAGCTGGTTTGTATTTGTCATAACTAACCTACGCTTATTACTATGTTTACAGAATTAGTCTGTTTTCCTTTTGTCCACATCACTACTGTCTTTGGGACACTCACACCACCTTCAATACTCCAATTCATTACTCAGCTACTCAGGTTATATTTCAGGTTTCCCTGGTGGAGATCAGAGGCTCGTGTGTGTACACACACACACACACACACACACACACACACAAATACAAACAAGAACACCTTAGATCGGTCTGTTCCAGTGTTCATGAGACCATGTAGTCAGTTTAGGAATATTTAAGCCTAAAACAGGAGAGACGGTGGGTACCACGGTGCTTTTGGAGTGTTGCCTTTCCAGGACCTGCAAGGGGACAGAGCCAAGGTCGGGACCCCTAGGGATGGAGGAGGGGGCACCGGTTAGAAGTCAAGTCCAAAGCCAGGAGGCGGGGCCTGCCCCTAGAACCGGAGCGAGGAGTGTGGGCCCCGGGCGGGAAGGAAGGCCGCGGCGACTCGGGAGAACTCACAGTAATAGGCCACCACGGGGTCCCGCTTGTCATGCTCCTGCGCCGTCCTCAGGTGATGCTGTATGCTCTTAAACTGCGGGGGCAGCGGGGGCAGCGGGGCCAGCGCAGCCATCTCTAGGCCAAGGCTTACTACTTCCTACTCGCGCGCCGCCGGCACTTCCGCTTCCGCTGGGAGGTCACGCGCAAGAGCGCGCACGGCAAGCCCCGCCCCCTCTCCCGTTGCTAAGCAACCGCAAGCCAACTACGACTTTCCAGCAGGAACAGTCTCAGTGTGCTTGGCTCGCGATGAAGTCTGAGGGACACCAGCGCTCTCTCCTGGTAGGAAGGAGGAGAAATTTTGTCATGTTTTAACTTTTGGTGGTGGTGGCCCCATCGTCCCTTTTATGGCAGAAGGAAGGATAGAAAGGGGGAAAAAAACAAAACAAAAAACAAAATAATGTCTGTTGATTGGGAAAAAAAAGGATAAAGGCGTTAATTGCCCTTGGCATCATTCAGGAATTATCCCTTCCAAGTCCTCAGATTGTATTAATAGTGTCCATAGAAGCTTTTTTGAAAAATTTATTATTATTATTATTATTTTTTAATCTTAGAAACAGTACATTCAATTCTTGGTTAAGATGAGAGATGATGTGTTTATATTTTTTAATTAGGTTCTTCCATATTGACACATTGGTAAAGTAGCCAACAGTTTTCTGAATTGGATAGTGTACACTTTAGTGAATGAATAATCTGTAAATCATGTATTTTTGGAAAATGATGAACAATTTGTAAAGTACTTGGGATATTCATTACTTGTCAATGCACAGAGAAGGTGTCCTGGTATACTTCTTGCTCAATGCTGCTGACTCATAACAGTGTAGGCATCAGCTTTCCCTTCCACCATCAGTGACTTCAGTTCTGTTTTCTTTCCTTTCTGTCCCATATTATCATCTTTCACTTTATTTACCTCCATGAATAACCTTTCATTATTTTATCTTAGTTCATATTTTTGAGAGTTCATCTGAAAACTCTTTTCATTGAAATCACACCATTTCCAAGAAACAAAATCTCAAGCTCTAAAAATGTCCTGTGTATACCCTTCTCTAATGAATACTAAACTGACTCCAACCCCTGGAGAAGCTGCTCTATGTCCTTATATTACTCCCACTTCACTTCTTTTGTCTATTCTTCTTTGCAGAGTCCACCATTTAATTAAAGGTCTGTTTTTTGTTTTGTTTTGTTTTTTACCTAGAAAGAAACTGAGTTCTTTATTCTCTCCCAATCTCAGCAACATGCTTAATAGCACTTGAGGATGTATTTGCTATGAACTGAATGTTTGTGCCCATCACCACCAAATTCATATGTTGAAACTTAATGCCCAGTGTGATGGTATTAGGATGTGGGACCTTTGGGAGATGACGCATTTCTGTTGTTTGTAAGCTATGAAGACTGTGATCTTTTGTTATAGGAGCCCAAACAAACAAAGCCATTATGATTTCTTTTTCTTACTCTCACTATCCTGACTTTCCAGTCAGAAGTTGCTGGACTGGTAGAGAAATTAATGAAGCGAAGCAGAGTGGGTTAACCATAAGTGTCTTTCTCTGTCTTATGACTTCTCATTTATTCTCTTTGTATTACTTCTTGATTCTCAACTGTGGTTGTCCAAGGTCAGCTTAGAAGTTTTCCTAAAGATTCATATCAAGGTCCTACCACCAGGCAACCCATTGTTCTGGGTTGGATCCTAAATATCAGTATTTTGAAAAAATCTTCAAGAAATTTTAATGGGATATCTAGAGTTGAGGACAAATGCCCTAATGAATCACTAGTACACACCTGATTCTGCAAGCCTTTCCTATTCTTTTTAAGCCAGACCTTCTGCCCTGATTGCCTTGGTCAAAGAGTATACTTACTGCTATTGAGATTAAGGCCACCAAATAGAATTTGTTTCACCTCACCTCTGCCACAAAATAATAATAACTAGTAAGCTTTTATTGAAGGTCTACGTATCTTCATGTTTCTAAGAGTTTTATATCAACTCACTTAATTTTTTATCACAACCTTATGTGGAAGGTAGTATTATCATTTTCATTGCATTGCAGGTGAGAAAAATAAGGCATTGAATGTATGTAACTTGTACTAGGGCACAGCCAATCAGTATGAGTGTTCAACATTAAAATCCAGGTACTTTGGTTTCAGAGCCTGTGAATCTAGCCACTACTATTTGATTTGAATAGCTCTCTAGACCGAAAATACATTTTTGTCTTTTGTTTTTCTCCATTTCAGATTTTGTCCAAAAACTAAGTGTTGCTTTTCCTTTCTAGTGAAAGCTGCATCTTTGTGTTATTTTCCTAATCACTCCCTTCAGGAATGGAGGTTGCTCAAAGTCCCTTTCACAATTGCATACATTCTAGGAGAAGAGGAGCAAAATGTCCAATTAATTGAAATGGTTAGAATTGGATTTTACTCCATCTGCCAACACATGATCTTTTTTTCCCTAAGCACTATACTACCATCAGTAGAGGATAATTTATATGAGTAGGGAAAGTAACATAGATAAATGTTAGCCTAATAATACATTGAAATTATGCTATGAGTCAAAGTAAATATGAACAACATTAGGTTGGATTTTCTTGATATTTTACAGTAATGAATTCACTATGATATTTTACTATGAAGAAAAACGTCAACTCTTCTTTTCTGAAAAATCTAACATTACCCTTCAGGATAGAGGTACAATCTTGGCCAGTGAGGAGAGGGCAGAGATAGGGGTTCATGGCAACCACAGGAAGAATAAAAGGGAGAGATACTTGAACTGACAGGTGTTTTGATAGAAAAAAGTAAATGTTTTGTACTACTTCCCAGACACCAGTGTATGTGTGATCATATCACAGCAAAACTTTATGTTCCAATTGTGGTCACAACTCTTTTGGTGAAAAATGACAGGACTTATTGTAATCAGGGAAATATACTAGTATATCCATTGATATATCTTTGCGGTACATTGTATATGGTAGAAATTTGGGTTCCAGTACTATGAGACTCACATTCTATTAGTTATAGTTTCTTTCCTTAAAAGTTCCACAGAAAACTAAAAGAGAAAACCCTGATGACTTGGCCAGGCCTATTTACACATCCATGGCTGGGACTGGACTGGAGGTAAAAATTACAGTTTATTTTTTCAACATGCATATCTTGTTGTTGTTTTTTTTTGTTTTTTTAGCATAATTGAATTATGTTAGTGAATTTAAAACAAAAACACACAATTATATATTTTCAGAACTAATTCTAACCTTTTAGTTTTACTGTAATCAATATACTTATCCCATACCAACTCCACACTGTTTGGCTTATTGTACCTTCCAGTAAGTCTTAAAAGTATGTAGTGTGAGTCATCTACTTTTATTTTGCTTTTTCAACATTGTGTTGGCTATTCCAAGTCCTTTGTATTTTCATATAAATTTTCAAAGCATCTTGTTAATTTCTACAAAGCTGGCTGAAATTTTGACTTGAATTGTATGGGGACTAAGGATCAATTTAGAGTGACTGGCGTTATAAAAGATGAAGTCTTTCAAATCATGACCGTGGTTTACTGTTCTACTTTTTAAAAGAATCTTTAATTTCTTTTAGCATTGCTTTTTAATTTTCATTGTTCAAATCTGAAACATTTATTGTGAAATTTATCCCTATGTGTTTCATATTTTTGAATATTCCAAATGGCATTAAAAATTTTTTAATTTCATTTTTATTACTCTACAGAAATATTAACCTTTATAATTTAATTATTTATTCTAATAGCTTTTTGTACACCTCTAAAATTTACTATGTACATGTTCATTCCATAAAAATATTATTTTCCAATATGAATATCCTGTATTTTTGTTACATTTACTATCATAGTAAGTATAAATTCAAAATATATATTTATTTTGTTTTTATTTTGTCTTGACATTTAGTTTAATGTTACCCAGAAGTGGTAAAATTATACATTCTTGCCTTTTACCACAATTATAGGATAAATTGTTCATTCTTTCACTATTAACTGAGATGTTGCATATAGCATTTTTCAAATATTTTTTATTTAATTTACATGGTCACCTTTAAAAAAATTTTTTTTAATTGATTTCAGAGGAAGGGAGAGGCATAGAGAGGGAGAAACATTAATGATGAGAGAGAATCATTGATCAGCTGGCTGCCTCCTGCACACCCCACACTGGGGATTGAGCCCTGACCAGGAATCAAACTGTGGCTCCTGATTCATAGGCCAACATTCAACCACTGAGCCACGTTGGCTAGGCTATGTGGTTACCTTTTATAGTGATATCTTTGTTTTTATTTTGTTTCATAATAAATGGGTATTAAGTTAATCAAATGCTTTTATCTGTTTATATTAAGATGACTGTGGGTTTTCTTCTTTACTCCCTTAAACCACTTAAATTACATTAATTGGTTTTCAAATGTTAAAAAAAACCTTTTATGTCTGGGATAATCTCCATTTGAACTCCATGATGTAGTATCATTTTATACACACACACACACACACACACATATATATATATATATATATATATATATATATATATACACATATATACACACATACTCTCTCTCTATATATATGTATATATATATATATATATATATTATTTTAGCTGTATTACAATTGCTAATATATTTTTGCTAAGAATTTTTAAAATCAATATTAAATTATTATTCATGAAATGAAATGGCCAATATTCCCTTCTAACTCCTAAGAGATTGTGTAGTGTTATTTCTTCTTTACACATTTGATGGAATTCTCCACTGAAACTATGTGGGCCTGGCATTTTCTTTGTGGAAAGGCTTATAATTTTTTATATTTAGCTTCTTTAATATTTCAAGAATATACATATTTCCTAGTTATGGTAGAACAAAGTTTTTAGCGATTTGTGCCTTTTAAGGAATTGCTCCTTTTTATTTAAATATCAAACTTATTGACACGACATTGTTCATATGATATTCTCTTGCAATCATCTTAATGGGCCTTTTTTCATTTATGGAATGTCTAATTTTCACTTTTTCCTTTATTAGCTCAATCAGTCTAGTGAGTTTTGCCATCTTATTGATCTTTTGAAAGAACCAGCTTTTTGTTAGCTTTTTCTCTATTGCTTACAATGTTCTATTTAGTGCTGTTATTTTTATTTTTCTCCTGGTTA